GGGGGGGGGGGGGGGGGTTATCCCATTAAAGTGGATTTTTATAGATAACGCTCTAAGTAATAAATATTTCATAATTTTGAATACAGAGTCGACTGAACAACACTTTGACGAATGTAATCGTTAAGTTGTCAGTTAGAAATATTGACTGTCAACCAAGTTATTTTACAAAATGTTAATGAAAGCAGTAATACTACTACTTTCTCCTTTATTAATTGAATCGTTAACTTGATATTAATACTGAAATTTCATTTAGTCTCTAATTATATTCGAGTCGTGTGAGTTAATTGGCTCAATTAATCGGCACAGTTGACTGGTCAATTGAGCGATTAATTAAATAAGTATTTATTAGTACTTGTAGATATTTATTAAATAAGAGGTAAATTAAATTGTGTAATTTCGGCGCAATTTGCACACTTCTATCTTGTTTCCGCGGCTGCCCGAACGGGCGTTCGTTCGCGCGATCCGCCACTAGTAGCACTTCCCACGGGAGAAAATAGACACGCGAATGTTTGAAAGCGGATTCGTCGCGGTACCGCGCGAATTGATTCGCGGCCGAGCTTCCTGCGTATAAATCGCAATCAAAAATCGATTCGACGCGCATCGCGCCGTAGATTCTACTCAGCTGAAAACCGGATCTCGCCCCTCGGTTCCCCGCAGGCTCATTCGGACGTGTCTAACGGGGATCAGGAACCGTGAACGATGCGACGGAAAACAATCCTTTGACATGTAACATGCGGAACTAAAACGATCGTTAGCGGCACAATGGTCGAAAGAATCAATTACCAAGCCGAGAACTCCGTTTGCGGCGATACACGTTTCGATCGGATCATAGGTCGTGATCGATGTCTCTCTCTCTCTCTCTCTTTCTCTGTCTCTCTCCCTTTCTCTGTCGGTTTGAGACGGGACACAATGATATTGAAATTTCGGGTGGGCTTGAATGAATTTACATTTGAATGTAACTGCAGACAGCAGGGCTGCCGGTATTTATTGTCAACTGTTGACGTGTGTTGACGTCATGTTGTTAACGTCCCGTTACGTCTCTCAGTAGACAAATTTGTTAGGTACATTAGATGCAAGATACTGGCTCGTGCCGCGCGAATATAATTCTCGTTTTTCTCTCTCTCTCTCTCTCTCTGTCTCTCTCTCTTCTGTTAAATCTATCACCGCACGGAATATCTCATGATGAAACTCGAGATCTAATATATTCGTACGTATATCCGACGTTATTAACAACGGCCGGCTAGTACAAGCTCTCTCGACTCTTTCCGCGCGCGTCGGGAAAAAATAAATACCCACCAGGCTCCTTCGGGAGTTATTTACGACCGTAGCCGATAGTTTCCCGGCGGCTATCGTAATTTATAGTCGCACGCTATCGTATGAAATAATATTTGGGATAAGCGAATTATTTTCCGTTTTAGTGGGCCGCTCTTAAAAATTCGTCGTCTCCCTTTATCTCATCGCCGGTACGCTTAGCGATCATAAGGGCGGCGCGGTCACATATCCACGATACGTGGAGACGTGGGGAATCTGAATCGGGACCCCCGGAGGCACTCGCTCGATTCGCCTTTATCGCGTGAAACGCGAAGAGAAATATGGTCGGCGAGCGACGCGCGCGCGCGCGCGCGTCTTGGAAGCTCTCTGCGTCTCATCCGTTTCACGATAAAAAGAGAGTAAGGACGAAGGAGGGGGGAGGGGGGGCTAACGACGCGTTCGCCGAGGTGTATATACGAGACGGCTCGGGTCCGAGACATTCCCGAACTCGAAAACCCACTTAACTATTCGGACGACGAAGATTAGAGAGCAGACCCGCGAGGAGGCCTTCGTATTCTCGTTATCTGGGCCTCTCGGGACCCCGGAGAGACCCGGTGATCGGGCCCTTCGCCGGAAGGTGGACTGATAAGAGGGCGGCTTGTGTGTAGCTTTTAGCGTATCCTCGACAAATCACTCCGACGAAACGCGATCGGCCCGTTCGAGGAAGAGAGAAACCTCGCGAGCGGATAACGTGACGAGTGGGTCCGAAATGCGGGAATGTCGTCAATTAGGGAACCGCGGGAGGAAACGACGAGACGCGTGCAGGTATGTGTGTAAATGCATATCGAGAATTTTTATTTCTCGTCGCCCTTCTTTCTCTCTCTCTTTCTCTCTTTCTTGGGAATAAAATGCCCAATGCACTGCATGACATTGTAAGATGATACGTTCAAATATAAACTTGTTGACTATTTATTTACCGGCGGCCTACCTTAAACAGACGCGTTGCTCTTTAATGTATCTATTGTCTCATATATTTTACTTTTACATTTTTTAATATTTATACTTTGTACTTCCTTTTCTATCTCTATCTCTTTTTCCTTATTATATATTTGATTTTATATTCTGTATTTTGTATCCAAAAGTGCGCTTGAAGGTAAGTTTTTCCAGAGCGCGCGATAAATTCACCTATCTATCCATCTCTGTCTGTCTGTCTCTGCCGGTGTCTCTTTCTCTCCTTCTTGCTCTTTCTGGAGCGCACCGATCGTTGAGTGTTACATTTAGAACGCCGTCGATCGGCGAGATCGTAATGATATACGCTCGCCAGATAAATATTATGCACAAAACACACAAACACATACGTAGATCGATTGTTTACATACGATACGATCTTTTTCCGGCGGTCTCCGGGAGTATCCGTAAACGGAATCCACGGCCGATTCGCGCGCTCGGCCGATGTGAGAATCGGTAGAGGTTGGTCTCATCGCGGATTTGCCGCTCGAGAAAATCTCGAAATGATTTGCCGTTTCACGTGGGAAAAACGAGTCCTGCCACGGCCGTGTAGGTGGTTACTATAAACGCGCTGTACGCTCGCCGTGTGGCCTCGATACTCACGATCTGTTACATTACGGGGTGGTCCGCCTCACCCAAGGCTGCTTTCGAATAGATTTATCTCCGTCGAGCGTTAATTATATCCAGCGCTAATTAGCGACAGCACGGAACGTCACGGTAACGCGGAATCGACGCCTTCTGTCGCACATGTTTCTCATCGTGCGACTCTCGTTTACTTATTTTACACGTCGTAGAAGTCCTTTACATGAATTTTTCTCGTGCATCTTAATCGTCTTATCTCACCTCTTTATCTCTGGGATTTATTTTTCATTATATTAAAGTGCGCAAAGTTGCGAAGGAATGTACACAGAGAAAAAAAAATTCCTTTGAATTTGATAGGATTTCATTAATTGAGACAGATTTTGTCTCTCGGAATAGAACAAACGAGCGAATATTTGGTCCAGTAAATAGAATTGTCTAGTTTTTCGAAGAATAAATATTTTTACGTCAAATAACAAAAAATTCTTTTATGGTTGCATGACGAAAGGGATACATACTGTTGTCCCCGAAAATAATTATATATTTTTCTCTCAGTGCGGGCGATGGAAAATTCCGCCGACTGAGTCGTTCATTCCGTGTGCGCTCTTACCTCGTGATCACGTAGCAAGATGCCAAGACGGATACAAGGGCAGCGACGGCGAGGACGAGGGCGGCGACGTGCAGCGCCTTGACGCGGTTTCGCAGGAGCCGGTCGCCGCTGAACTCCGACGAATCCTCACGGTGCCGATCGCTCCACTGTATTGTCGGCATCACGTCTCGGCTCGTCGACACGCCGTTCTTCGGCGCGCCGAGACCCACCGCGGAATGCGTCAGATCCGTCATTTTTCTGCTCTCGGGCGTCCACGTGCTCGCGTTCGACTCGTTGTCGTCAGCGTTGCAGTAATCGTGGCTGTCGCAGCATTTCAATGTTGGCCAGGGCACGCGGAGCCACGGGCTCACTGACGGTTCCACGTTGTTGATGTTAGCCGACCGCGACCTTGTGGCCCAGGACTTTGTCTCGCACAACAACGGTGTGGCACTCCTGCGTGCGACATCGGGACGAACGTGAGGACGACCCTCCTTGAACTCCGATTAATCTAATCGACGATTGCAACCGGCGGGACTGCCGACGGCTATTTCTAACTATATAATTTGTCGTTCGAGAATAACCGGAAAAATTAATAACTCTGCTAACTGAGAAATGAGTGATTGAATCTATCTGACATTTGATCTGACGTTATCTGACATTTGAAGTGATTTGATTGAATCTACTTGATAATAGGCAACCATACGCGTTTTGATTGAAAGAAACGAAATTTCTCATAAACCAAATTTGGTTCTTATTGTCGGAAATTTCTTGCTCGTTTTAACAATAAGCTGTCTTTTACTTTCCATGTTGACAGCTCTGTTAATCATCGATTAGCTTAGGCGGAATTTGGAGAAAGTTACCCTTGTCAATCAGGTCGCGCGAATTCCCCGCCACGAGGCATTCCGCGAGATGGTTGACCTTCTAACAGTATTCGAATTTCTTCCAATCTGGGCGTCCTTAAAAAATTCTCGCGTGATATAAAAATATTGTCGGCACGGAAATTGAACCTTGTGATTTTTATGATATTTTGGACTGATATATTTTCCGCGATGTGAAGAAACACTTGGTTTGGCTTCTGGATTACTGCGTGTTCTTCGTGGATGTGTTTCCGACATTTCGTGAACATTTTAGTTCGCTTCTTCCGAGGAAAAAGAACGACCTGAAACTATGAACTGTGAACTGAAATATTCTTGAAACGTCTGAAATAAATCCATGAAGGACATGACACCAAAAACTAAAACGATCTTGTGACTTGGATCTTTTTAAAATTTTGACATATTTTAATGAATAATGTATTTATTATAATATATACAAGAATGTGCTGAATGTGAGAAAAGTAGCGTAGACTATATTTGGAATTTTTTAAGGACACTCGGATCGAAACAGGTTAGAAAGATAACGTGTCAATTGCCCTGATGGGAGTCATCAGTGAACGGCGCTATATCGTTGCATCTCATTAATTTACATATAAAACGTAAGCAATTGCATGTAAAAAATCGCATATATAGTTTATGAACTATAAGCCAATTGGAAGCCAGTGGAACGAGCTAACGAATATATATACGTATCGTGGATTGCATTTATTTACCGTATTTTTGATCATTCAAACTTTATTTGGGCATTAAAGTAATCGACTCACACAAAAAAAGAAAATATATCAATAAAATTAGTCAAGAGCGCCATAAATGCGAAAAATCTTCTTGATTACTGTTTACTGCTATTATTACCCAGTAAACACCAAGTACCAATAACATAACATCGATGTTTAATGTCCGACACAATAATATATATGTTACATGACACACGGATATTATCTAACCTTAGCAAAATAAAATAAAATTAAGTGATGAGAGAAAGTAGGTCAAGCTGATATAATAATATTAATATTTTAATATAATACCAACATAATAATAATCATATTCGCAAGAATATAAATTTCGGCAGTAGAACATTTATGGCGCTTTCGACCAATTCTGTTCATACATTTTTTCTTTTCATATAATGTTGAGCATTGATATAATCAATAGGAATTAGCATGCCATCGTGTTAGCAATTAAAACGACTGCGTTCGAGGTTGTTGATGCAATTGACTCAACGATGGAAAACGATAGATATAATTTCGCGAGCCGTGCCGAAACCGTCGTCGCACTTTCCTCGAACGATAACGACAAACGAGAATTCGCGAAGCGAAGATTTTTTTTCTCCCCTGAACAATGGAAGGTCACCTCCGGTATGACCAATAGCATTCTTCTCTCTCTTTTTCTCTCTCTCTCTTGCGATAACATGAAAAAAAGAAGAAGAGATACGTGCGACCGGCTCGCATTGTCAATAACATAATCCGGATGTCGTCGCAAGAAATTCTTGCTGTAACTGCATCTTCTCCGGAGATGCCGAGCGCGGGATACGCGATGTTAATGAGAGTCGTTTAATAAAAGTCGCGGAAACTTTCGGCCGATTATCTCGTCAAGGTTATGCGCGCGCCATGACGCATTCCTGAATTTATATTACAGCGTTGATGAAGCTCTGCCGCGATGCCGACGAATTAAATCCTGTTTGCGAAGAAGCGCAATATCGCTCTTATACTTTCACAGTTCTACTCATATCGAGACTCGAGAATCACGAACTCAGCTTTATATCTCCACGCTTTAATCGCCACGAGACTAGAGAGATTCCGATTTTCTGTGAAAAATTGTAGATCGTGTTACTGTTTGTACTGCTATTCTCTGACGCAAAATGAAATTTAAGCGTTTCGTTACTGCAGTTACCGTCATAATTATCGCCGTGACCTTTTCCAACAAAGAGGAACGACTCGGTGCTGCTCACTTTTATTTCCCGCTCTGATTGGAGCTTCAATTTCGTAAAATATCGAGACATTACAGATCGTGTAAGCATTTTTATGCATTTTAGCAAACTGAGGACAAAGCTCGCTTTAACCTTTTTATCTATTTTCAAATTTCACTCGGTCTTAAAGGCAATTTAATAAAAAATTAGAGGCCTATAATATATTAATAGCGAATCATTAAGAAATAATTTTTGTGCCAATGCACGGAGAAAAATCATTTACTGGCACAGAAAATTTTATGCTCTCATAAGAAAATCTGTCAGTTATTATATGAACAGCAAAGTGATTTGTTAAGAATACTAATTGCCAATTTTTCTGAATTATTTTGCTGAATCTAGAAATTATTTTATTGTAAGAACAAATTAGTAAATGTAGGAAAATATCTGTTCACTTTAGTCTGTTCTTTTTAATCGAAATGGGTTATACTTTTTGTCGTTAGAATGAAACAAGTATATGACCTAGCGTTAAAAAGAAAACGAAGTTCCAGTGCAGCATTAGTTCAACTGAAAAAAACAAGCTTATTATTTTGTTCTAACAGCAAATTAACGCGTCCTAAAGACAAATTCACTCAACAGAATATTTTCTATCCTAAACTGCGACTAAACTGTTTCTGCTCTAATTACGAATAATTCGTTAATTTAATTATGTCAATTAAGTTTCATCGAAAATTTTGTGTATTTTCCCACAAGGAATTATTATTATTCGCCACCAATATTCTCGTGTGGCTCTTATCGGCCAGAAAATATTCCTTCGTGATTGAATATCCGAGAGCCTTGATACTTATTGATGATAATGATGATGATGATGATGATTACTACTTCATTTCGTTTAGTTATTAATAACGATCTGCGATATACACACTCCGTGCATCCCCTCGTGGTAGTGCTCTCGCCGACTCCTTGTCCGGCTGTCAGGATGAATTCGGTGTAGCAGGAGAACTTGGTGCTGCAAACGTCCGCTCCCATCTCTCTGCAGGCCTTGCTCGTGCACACGCACATTCTCCCTGTGAGAAATACGATCTCACGTGCCAAACGGCCGCGAAATGTCGCGCATCTCACGAGGAATCAATTGTTATCGCAATCCTCGCGTGCGCGTAACGGGCTTTTCACGAGCGACAAAATCGCGAGAAATTCCGAACAATGCGCGTCAATTCCGCGCACATGGAGAAAACGACTCCGTTGGTGTGACTGAATCTTGCCCGAAAAGACCCAGGGACCAGACGGAAAACTCGGGGTCGTAAGAACAGAAAAATCCCTCTGGCAAGGTTTCTGCACAGTCAATTGTTCTGTCATCTCAGCCGAATGTTTACGGTCTCGCGATAACAAAGAGAGAAAGAGAGAAAGAGAGAGAAAGAGAGAGAGAGAGAGAGAGACATATGTCATTTTTCGTTAGCAAAATTCCGTCTGCTTCCTGCTCAGTCACACGAATCGAGATCTCTTTCTTCGTACACATGTTCTCCCCCGTAATCCCGGTTTCATGCACGGTCGCCCGAGGATGAATCAGCGCGCAGATGCACGCTGTGCATCCGTGAATCCAGAAGAGCATTCAATTAACGGCGCTTCTCGTCGCGCTCTTCCTCTCTTCCTCTCTCCCTCGCTAACGAGAAGAGCGTTCCTCGCCAATTAGAGGAGCTCGGCGACGGTGACGAGCGTGTGACCCCACTTACCTTCGACCTGCTTTAGACCCGAAGTCAGTGACGTGATGCATACCGCGGCGAGGTATCTGGTTAACGATCGGCTGAGGATCGTCTCTCGGGGCATCTTTTCTTCTCGTCTTTCGCCGATAACGACGTCCACGTCTCTCTCTATCGGGCCGCGGAGTCCGCTGTGCGTCGGCCGACACGATGGAGCGCTATCGTCGTCGCGGAAAACGTGCCGATAAGCGCGACGCGCGGACTCTCGTCGTCTTATCGGTCCAGAGGACTATTCGGAAGTGTCCGGCGAAGAAGAGGAAGACGACGATGACGATGCTGCGAGAAACGCGGTGAAACGTGGCTCTACTTCTCTCTCTTTCGAGAAGAGACAGAAAGAGAGACAGAGAGAGATAGAGAGAGAGAGAGAGAGAGAGAAAGCACCTCTAATTTTAGCAGCTCCTCCCACTAAAAGAGCGTCGCGTCGCCCGCGTAGCGCCGTGTCGCGTCGTGCTGTGTGTGACGCGCCGCGTCGCACCGTCGACGACGCTCGTCCGCTTCGACAATTTACTAGCGTATCTATTTTAATTCCGTCATCGGCGGCATTACTATTTGCCGCCGCCGTTGGCGGATTCCGTCGGTCGGGAGGTGTGCGCGAGCGGGGAGCGGGTCGCCGATTTATTCCCGTGCTTTTGGCGCGGCCGACGACGCTCTTTTTCCGCGGCGCGTCCCGCGCGACACCGGGAGTCGCCGCGCTCTTAAAGTCGGCCGATTTATTGGAAGAATAACACACACCCGCCGCGACTCATCCCCGGCTCACGTGCGCTTTTATGTATTCTAAGGGGGAGAGAGAGAGAGGAGGGATGGAGATTCACAACCGTCCCACGCCGACGGTCCGGACGTGTAACGAAGCTTTGACGGCGCCCGATGGCGAAGAGGGTGAGACGCTCCCTCGTCGGCGCCGGCGACTGCGAGTCGGAGTCCTCGTTAGCGGAAAAATCGAAGAAGCGCGCGATGGAATCGTCCTCCTCTTCGTCGTCGTCGTCGCCGTCCTCGTCTTCTTCTCCTTCTTCTCCTTCTCCTTCATCGAAAGACATTCTCGTTGTAATCGCGGCGTCGACGCGCGGTTTACGTCGTACCGTTGTATTATTGCGACTTCGGACTGCACGATTGACGAAAGTACACACGAATAAAGACATACCGCATTCAAGTAAACGTTATTTGTTTCAAGTGTTTCATAAGTTTACATATTCGCAGATATATCATTTAAGCTCGCCGTCAAGTTTATTCAAAATATATTCGAAATCTTCTAGTATAATTTTAATGCTTCGATCAAGAATATTAAGTAAAAGCAAATTTCGATTTGCTTATTCAAATGAACCGAATTAAATTTTTCTCCGGTAAAGTTTATGATATTTTTTATAAAAGAATAAATCCTTCTTGTGTACGTGATAATGAGCTTCTCTCAAATTTGAAATATTTGGAGACTATTATCAAGAAAAAAATAACGGCCAATAAGAGCCTAATCGCATTATTCTCTTATTGGCCGTTCTTACCTTCTTAGTTAGTCACTAGCAGAGCGGTATCAACCTGAGAATGGTCACCTGGGGTTGTTAAACTCTAATTAAAAGTCGCTATTATTAACGAAATATAATTATTTAGGAACTTTATAAATATAGATTTACTCGCTACTTTTTGAAAAGAATGAGGAGAAATAAAAAAGAAATATTTAAGAAACGGAATAAACACATCAAGTGATTCGTGATCGTTTACGAAAAAAAAGGTGATTATTCTCGGGTTGATATTTGTAGTTGTCAAGAAAATATTCCCTGCTGAAAATAACTATTGCTTGGAAACTAAACTGAGTAATCGTGTTTCTTGGCGATAGAATATTTTTCTCCGTCGTTAGCGCGTGAAACGGAAACAATTGTGAATGGTAATTGACTGCAGGTGACACAGCGGATAAAGTAACGAGGATGAAGTCGTCAGGAGAAAAGTATTCGCGAAAATAATGAAGGCATCGAAACGAGTCTCGCAAATGCGACTTATTGTCTGACAAGAGAACCTTTTATTTAAAGCGGGTGAGAGTACTCTCTAAATTTGTCGGAGTGAAATTGCACTCCTAAAGTTGCTTGAATACGAGTATACGAGACTTTAGTACGGGAATGCGGGTTTTCCACTCGTACAGAGCGAATTTTCCGCTCTGAATCGTCAAGTGAATATTATATTTTCGCTTATAATTGACGACACAAAGTGACTCCAATTGATCGGAGAACGTTCGTTCACGTATGGAGTCGGAACTTATTCCAAGTTGAGATCAAACATTCGCTCTTTACGATTCCGAGCGGCGGCATTGTCACATTTCTCATTTTGAGCTCTGGACTTTTACCGAACGTCTCGTGTGATTTTTTTCTTCTTCGGATTTTTCGCTCGCTATTTCGCAAGCGTCTCGGGAGGTAGATAAATAAGGCTGACGCGGTTGTCGCATCAGGAAATCAGACGGCGGAGCCGATGGGGAAGGGGGAACCGTGCGCAATGTTTTTTCTGTTCGATCGACGTTCAATGACTCAATCGCGGCGCACAGACATTAGCTTCTGAAACGCAGCAGACGGGGGTCGAATTCCTCGCTTGGTTTCCTGCGCATGCAACATTAACCAGAGCCCTCGTTCGTTGCACATTTCTTTATCGACCTCTCTCCGTCGAGAGAGAGAGAGAGAGAGCGCCGAGTTGGGTTATCGGAATGACACTCGGTTACAGTTTAACGAGGTCGCGTCGGCTGTTCTTCGGCCGCTTCTTGTTGCACGAGCCGATCGAATGTCCGTGGTAAGAAGACTCCAGCCGGAGCCAGCAACAAGGATTTCTTTCACGTATAGGCAATTTGCCGAAATGTATTAATCGGCCGTTCAGCCGATCGCTCTTCGCTCAATGTGTTCACCGCCTAATTCGCGTGACCGTGCGTGCCGAATTTCCCCGCGACGAATCTCAATCGCGATTCTCATGTCGTAAGGCGTGATGTTGAAAGGGGAGAGGATTGGAGATCTTCTGTGGAAAACAAACCCGGTAAATACCAAACAATAGACGTCAATGGTATAATTTCTCGCTTGACGATGTAAGTGCGATGTAACGTGTGTTGTACACTGAAAAGAAAAAGTGCTACATTCAAATGTAAAATATTGAATGTAGAACACCGAGAAAAAAAGCGTTACGTTTAAATAATATTTATTTAAGGATGTACCGCCTGTATCTCAAAATAATGAAAAAATTACAAGTTGATCTACGCTGCATTTAAAAGTGACACCAAAAAGTTTTACTGTAATTCAGAGCCTAACAAGTTATTTCACTTTAAGAAGGTTGTATGGTAAAACGAGTTTGATATGAATTCGATGAAATTTTCGCTACGTATACGTTTGAATATTACCTGTTTGTGCGATTGAACAAATTGAGATATGTTGCAACCAAAGTTGTCACTTTTTATACGTGTTTCCCCTCTGATATTATATATATTACGTACTATTTTTAATTTTTATTTTTAATATCTTCTAAACTAAAAATAAGATTTTGATGAAATTGGGTTTAACCGAGGGAAGCACTATGGTCCGTTTAAAAAAATCCTGATAATCCTGTCGACATCGAAAAGTGCTCCGGAATTATCACGAGCTCACTTTCAACTCGTTTTTATTTATCAACGCAACATCGGACTACTCTGCGATGGAATGATAAAAACACGTTACGTGTGCATGAGACGGTTGTTTCGCTAATACCGGTATTTCCTGGGCAACATCGAGCCTCCGGCTTGCGCCGGCACTTAGCACCGATCACACGATACATTCAGAAGAATGCGAGCGATAAAGTGTACGTGTGTAAGCGGCCGCACAATATCGTTAGGAGGGTGCATCGCTAAAAACCGAGATATTTTCATATACAGGAAACGAAAGTTTGCATCTCAATTGTTCGCTTCTCTTGTCGGAGTGTTATTAGGTTCGATGTCGAAATGAAAACTGCAGAACGGGGAAAGAGTTAAAAGAATAGACGTCGACAGAAGCGAAGAGAGAGCGGCGAAAAAAAATCAGATAAATCAAGCGCGAAAGCGGCTCGTCGTGTTGTGACCTTTCGTGAATCTTCCGATGATCTCGATTTATGCGCGCGATGACAAACTTGCGAAACGAAATATAAGGGAGAGAGGAGGATAAAATGACGATCTCAAGATCTGTCGATTTTTCCTCATTTTCGTAGTGACGTAAAAATAACGATAAATTTTTGCCTATGATCTGCATAAACTGAAAAATAAAAATAAATTATAAAAATTATAAAAATAAACTTATAAATAAATTAGAATTTTGTTTGATTTAAATTTTTTTTAGAACGTATTAATTTCGTCATCCTGTTCTCATATATGAATAAGATGAGGATTGTAAACAATTTTTTATGCAGACGAAAAATAATTTTCACAAAATTTTTATATAATTTTGTTATTGTAATGTCTGTACAACGTAATAAAATACAAATAAAAATATGTATGAACAAAATATAATCATTTGTATGACAATGTAATTTAAAGGGAATCAATCTAGACAAGAGCAAAAATAAAATGTGTGAATATGCGTCATCTCCCTTTCCCCTACACGTAACATTCAAATAGAACGTTAATTACAGAGATAATTAATTGGTCGAATTAACAACGCCGAATCACGGCTTTAATCACCCGTTAATTCTGATCTGGCATACAGGGCGAGGATGGCGGGACCGATCGTCGGAGGAGGAGAGGAGCAAAGGAACTCGAAGGATCAAGAAGAGGACCGCTCTCTGTGGGGGAAGCAGCAGCGGGCCATCTCTCCGAGCGGGAGCTCATTCTTTTTAATTAGCTTCTGCACTCTTACTCCCGTGGCCGTTCAGGTACAACAGGGACGATTGCGCACCGGCGTGTCTTCTTAATTGTCGACGAGAGTTGCGGGCCGACGCACGGAGAACGGGTTTCGAGCAGGTTGCCCGCGCGACGTGGGGCGACGGGGAACGTCCGACGGGGAGAGCGGAGGACTCGTATATCGTTATCCTGGTTATCGTCATCGCGCACGCTCGGGAGACCGGCCGGTCGCTCGGGAAAGAATACGCGTTAATCGCTTAAATCGATCAAAGCTCGGCGAAATCACTGTTGAGACGAGGCGATGAACGGGCTGAGGCCTGTAATTCTCACATAATGGCCCCGGCAGAGATCATCCCGCTACTTCCACGCACACACACATACACACACACGTAGCGGCAGCTCTCGTATGTCGCACAACGACGGCTTACATCTCGCGCGAATTCGATCGGCGGATTATCGATGGACGATGACGCGAGTAAGCGATCGGCTGGAACATCGCGTTACTCTCTTCTCTCCCGAGCGAGAGTAATGAAAAGATAATCACGGTAATCGATTGGCTACCCTAATTGACGTGAGGGAAAAATCGCCGCGATCCCGGGGGCTGGGGCGAGCTACTCGAGTCGAGCGAGTGTAGTTTTCGCCGCTGTTTTCGCGCTACTTCAGCTTCGCTCAGCCGTAACAGTCGCGGAGAAACGTTTCTCCATTATTTTTTCCCCTATTATTGTATTTTTGCCGCGATCGCTATCGCATGCAAAATAAGATATTTGAAAGCGAGATCTGGCGTTTATATCGGGATATGCGTCGCAAAGAAGAAATATCACTTCGGTAAGACCTTCGACTTTTTTTAACTATCGTTAGATATACACATACACACACACACACATACGCACAGAAGACCGTGCACTATATCGAAATGGCGAGCAGCGTGAGGTACTTCGTTCGATCTGCGAATATGTCACGGATTCGTTGCACATTGAGAAAAAGATTTTTCAGATTTAATCAATTTCTTTGTATCCGAAGAAATTTCATCATTGACATGCTCCAAAGAAACTAATGTTTCGATTAATAAGTACAATCGTTAGATCCTTCAACGAATATGTATCTTTATCTTAAATAAAAAATTCGTTTGAAACGAAAGATAATTTTCTTACAAAGAATTTATTCGCCATATTTTACACGTATTTATTGTAATCAAATAATATCTCATTCCGTTGACAGATATTATTTCAAATAATGGCGTTCTTTCTGTTAAATAATAGAATTCCCTTGAACGAGACAATAACATTTTTACTCAAATAAATAATATTTCGCATAAACATACATTGTTTCTGCGAAACCAATTTTAATCAAGTAAATAGAAATAATACTGAATCTAAAGAGATCTTTTTCTCTGTGCAAGAAAAAAAAGAGAAAAAAAAGATCGCCGCCCGCAGTGTCAGTCGCGAAGACCTCGCGAAAAATCTCGGGAAGATTCGCCGCCGTGAGGAGGAAGAGATCCGCGAAGAAAGACGCCCGTCTTTTCTCATCTATTCCTCGCGTGTTCGTGACGTGCCCGGCCGTCGCTACCGGCTATTACGCGTAAGCGCATCGGCTAAAGAGGTGTATTCGAGTTAAGTGTTTCGTCCGTAATGACGACGCTCCCGTCGTCGAACAGAGGAACGAGAGGACGAAGACGTAATGACGATGCGTGCCCGCGCCGAGTATATTACCGTGTTGAGGCCCTGAGTTACATGCGCCGCTGGAACGTCGCTTTTTCCGGTTCTGGCCGGGCCCGCGACGCATCGGCGCGATCGAGTCGAGAGTGGCGCTCCAAGTTACGCAACGACGGGTGCTGAAATACAAATCAATATTTTCCACGTTTCTCAGCGACGTGAACGCGAGAGGGAATTGTTGCCGCCGCCCGCGCAGCGGAGGTGATCCGCCGGTCGGCGCGTGAAAGCGTGCGAACGACTGATCACGCTACGCAATTAGCGCGTTAATCGACCAGTCTATTTCTGACAGATTTATTAATTGGTTGAACCTAGTATTTATTATTGATTAGTAATTGATAAGTGACTAGTTGTTTAATTGTTACGTCTAAATTAAATTATTATCCAATTGGATACATATACACACACCGAAGGAAAAAATGTCTAAAAAGTAAAGAATATTCACTCGGTGGAGATACTAAAATGACATGTTTACTGAAATCTAAATTCTCTTGTTCTAAATATTTAATTTCATGTAACTCTTTTGTTCTCCAAAATTTAAATTCTACTCTTCATTGACTTTTATTACGAGACACTTTTTACGAGACTTTTATTACAGTTTTTTAACTTTTTAGAAGAATGATATAATATATAAACAATTTTTAACTTAAAAGCTCTTGAAGAAAACTCATCTTTTAAAATCTGACTATTTTCTTGCTTTTTCAAGAATGAAGCTCATATTTTGCACTATTTCAAATAATTAAACCGTTCCTATGCTTATTTTCACGAAAAGCTAGATTTAAGAAAGTGTATGTTTTCTCACTTGAGAACAACTTGTTCTCAACGTAAAAACACGTATGTTAGCATAAATAAACATATTATTAGTACCTACCGAATAAATATTTTTCATTCCTTGGATATTTCTTGTCTCAATGCATATTTAATAATCTTGTCTCATAGTTATTTATGAATAGTCGTTTGGCTACGCGACTACGCGCAACTACATGTCGCGGACGGCGGTGATTGCGAAGGAAGAAAATGAAAATAATATATCAAGGAGAGGCACGGCCTCTCCTTTTTCTCTTTTCTCTCTTACTCATGTGCGTGACACCTGGCTGTGCGCCGATCACCAGCGTTTTCCGTTGCGACGACAACGTCCCCGTCGAGGGAATTATACTTATAGATATTTGATTCTGATTGCCTGCCGGCCGATTGAATCGGTCATTCCGTACGTTAGCGTTGACATGTGGATTATGACGGAATGGAATACCTTGAATGTTATGTCTGTAATTACTGACTATATAGCTGCTCACCTGGTTGGAAGAAAACGAATCGGAAGTTTTCTTTAGGTACGACAAGTAATCTCGTCAGCGACGGGCAAGCTAGCAAGCCGCCCGTTACAGCTTATTGCCTTTTAACTTCTTTCTTAAGGTGAACTTAACCGGCCGAGATATATATATATATATATATATATATATATATATACATTTCTCAAGAATATATTACGTTAAATTCGCGTCTTATGGATCTACGTATGACGTAAGCGAATGAGAAAATGTAGAGAACGCACACGGCGTAGCAACGCGACCGGCGCTGTCTAAAGTATGCATAAAGAGCGCATTGCGTCATCAAGAGGCCTCTTAAAGATTTCAACGCTGACGGGATCATTTTTTCTTCTTCTTCGGGCGTTCCGCGCCGGAAGAGAAATCCGACGTTAACGTAATATATGCGCGTGTCGCGCGATATATATTATATCGCGCACGACACGCTCGGTCAACTGCGTATAACGCGCATACAACACACAGGCCCTCGATTCATCGATCTACGAGTGTGTATGTATGTATGTGTGTTACGTATGTGTGCGTGTGCTCACCGAAGAAATGACAAAAACAGCGACTAAAGCAATGCCGAGCCAAAAGTACCAAGCTTCCCAGAGGTGACGTGGAGTCCGTCGTTGCACCACGAAGCAACACTGCGGGTTACAACAGCAATACAGGCAATACCTGTCGGGGGTGCATGCATACGGCCGGATAATCGCGTTGTCGTCGCCGTTGCTCGCGCTCTCGTTCTTCAGCCCAAAGTTACTGCACTCGTAATAGAGACGTGCCATATTCTAATCGCGGACTTCCTCTCTCATAATCCTCCTTAGCCACGTTGCACCGTAAGACCGATTAAAAATTCATCCGCTCGTAGGGCCGTTCATGTTTCCATAACAGAGCGTGAATGCCGAGAGAGAAAGAGAGAGTGTGTGTGTGTGTGTGTGTCTGTTCAACGAACTAGCGGGCAACCGACGACCACGGGTCGATGGCAGAAAGCATCGTGTCGATCGTGAATGATCTAAAAAGAGAGAGAGAGAGAGAGAATGAAGAGCGACGTTATTTTCGGGACGTGCTTCGAGCCGCCGAGCGCCTATCTCGTTAACACCTGTTCGTTTCACTCACCGAATTGTAACGTTGCGTTGTGTGTCGCGCACGAATTCTCGCAGTCCTCGGCTTGTCCTCGGACGAATGTGTCGTTTTCGCAAGACGATTCTCGAGGGTTCGACGCGAGGGCGGCTCTCAGAAGGGCGTCGCTCAACTCCGTGTCCGACTAACGCTATCATTGACCGGGCCGGACAAGCACGGAATAATCGATAGAGCAAACGTGGTACGTCGTTGTTCACGCATCACCGCCGATCGATACGAATAAAAGTGGCCGAAAGAGAGAGAGAGAGAGAGAGAGAAACGCGAAACTGTAATTGATTTTTCATTCATCGGTTTTGTGCGCCGCTTTAGCGGTACATCAACGGTACTCGGATCAATCACTCGTAATTGGCCGCGTAATTGGGACCAGTTGATTCAACCGGAGCTAATTACTGCTCGGACAATTAATCCACGCGATCGATACGATTAAATATCTTTATTCGTACAGAGAGTATGGAGGAATCAGATTGATAAAAAAACGCTGAATCAAGAATACAGAAGAGACCGTCGTACTTTCTGCGACCTCCGCGCTGGCAACACGAGAACGTCAACGTCCACGCGAACATAGACAAGACCCTGACACGAATTAATATTGACCGCTGTCGTGCGGGGGTGGCGGCGGCGGCGGTCCCCTCGGCGGGAACGGCGGGCGAAATTGCGGCGGG